GGAAAAAAATAATAGTGAGTAGGAGAGCAGACAGAGGTTTGCTTTTTGGGTACTTGGGGAATAAAATGTTGTCTCTCCATGAGGATTGGCGTGGCAAGTGGCAATTGGCAATTGGCAAACCCCTTTTTTCAAATATATATATATATATATATATATATATATATATATATATAATTTTCATTCTCTAATTTTTATTCCCCTTTCTACTCTCTCGTTTTTCCAAAAATTAGAGATTGTTTGGTAAAGCTTTTATTTTCTTTTAAATCTTATTTTCAGTTTTCAAGAAATTTTTACTGTTTCTTTTTCTTATAAAACATATCAGAAAAATATTATTAATAAAGGCAAAATGTTAATATCAAATAAATTTGAACTTATTTAAAAAGAGTGAAATGTGTATTTGTTATTTTTTTTTATAATTTTTATAAAAATATCTATCAACAACGATATTTTCATCGTGAGATCTCGACTACATTTAAAACTTGTTTATAACAGAGGTTTTCCTCAAAATTGTATAAATTTTTTTCCCTGAGAATCTAGTTTCTTTTTTCCTTTTTCCAAAAATATTTATAAAAGAATTGGTTTAACGTACAGTAAATATTAAAATTTAAATATAACATAATGATTTAGAATTTTTTATTTTTAAAATATTATTTTCATGTAAAATTTTTAGTTAAAATTTGAGAGAATAAATAGCCGTTAAATGTTTTTTAAAATAAAAAGACAAAACACATTTTTATTTTTCTTTCCTAAAAGGATAGAAAATTAATAATTAATAATAAGAAATAAAAATATTACCAAACAAATCTTTAATATTCTGCTGGATAATTATTTTATTTTAAATTTTCTACATTTAAAAGATTATACACGTTTACTAGTATTTTTGTGTTTTTAAATCTAAAATCTAACCAAGTCTGATAACTAACGATAGTTTTTAAAAGTCCAAGTACTGTATGAGTGTATTATTTAAAACATTAACCTTGCAAACTTGTTTTACTTTTTTTTCTAATTGATTTGGGAATGTAACACATTTGAATCTAAGTTCACTTTTTGAAATGCAGTTGAATCAAGTTGGTCAAAAATAATTAATGATTATACATCAATAGTAATTTTAATTTTTAACAAAAGACACGTGAAAATAGCAAAATACTGTTCTTTTATTTCATTCTACTTTAAAAAAAACTAAATATATATATATATATATATATTTAAAGTCTCTTAGGTACTATTTATTTGTTATAAAAAATATTCTTTAAAAGTGAGAAACTAAATTTTAAAAATAGATATAAATCATTTTCAGGAACTTAATTTTTCAAAAATAAAACACAAACAAAATTTTTATCCAATGCGGCTCTAATCCACATTTTGTTAATACTTGAAATTGGTCTCCTATGTTTTTTAATTTGTTTATGAAAGAATTGTATTTATTTATTTTAGTATAAGATGTGGGGATGGAAGTTTGAACTAAATATATGCCAATTACAGCGAACTATGTTTTCTTTGGCGTGATATCTATAAATTTAGATATCATATAATTGAGAATATTTATGATATTATCAGCATACTGTATACTGTTTTACATACTTTTATACCATATTAATTAGATTTTGTATTATTTTTTAATTAAAAAAGAGGTTCTATATTATTTCTTCTCTATACTTTCTTAAACCTTTTGATTTTTTTTTAACCATTCTTTAACCTTTTGATAATCATAGTAATAAACAGTTTTGTAACCTTATATATCATAAGAAAAGTAACATTAAAATTATTTTTGTATTATGAGACAGGTATTTGTGAAGCTCTATTTGATTATATCTTATTTTTAGTTTTCTAATTTAAAATTTTTTATTTTTCTTTTCAAATCTAAACACTTTGAAAAATAAACTTTTGAAACTCATGGGTTGTTGAGGAATTGTTCCAAAAAGGTTTTTTTTTTCAGAAGTAATTTTTAAATATAACTTTTAGGTTTGTAAAATATAATGAAAAGAATACGTTGGAATCACTATTTTTTTTTTTTTTTAACGAAAAACAACCAAAATTATTCTAAAATATGGGTGATTCATAAAAGTAAAGTGTGCAGAAAAGAAACAATTTTTCAAAAAATAGCTATCTAAACCTGTTCTAAAACAATTAAAGTACCTTTTTGAATCTTTATTTTAATTTCACAAGGGTTTAAAAAGCAAATTAGTATATAAAAAATAAAAGTAATAATTTTTAAATCTAAAAAATAAAAAACGAAACCGTTACCGAAGGTTACAATATACATGGCTATATGATAAAAAGATATAAAAGAGGCAAATGGTGGCGAAAACCAACAAACAATATTCAAAAAAGAGATCTCCAATCTTAGAGTCAAATAATAGCCCAAAAAGTGAAATAAAGAGAACTGAAATTTCTCACTCTCTTTTCATCACACTTAAATTCTATTCCCTCTTTTTCCCACATCTCTTACCTTTAAGTAATTTCCCTTTTTCTTTTCTTTTCTATTTTTTCTTTTTCTGAAAAACATTTGTAGCTTTGAATTTCTTCTGGCCCTGTCTGCCCATTCAAAGGTTGATGTGTTAAAAGGAGGGAAGCTGATCTATGACCATGAACCATAAATAAAATAAGATAAAATTTAAAACTGTGGGGCCCACTGGTGGACCATCCTTTTTCCTAAAATTTCATTTTGTATAAAAATAAAATAAAAATATCATTAACATATAACAATTAAACAAACCCCATAATCATACTGTTTTGATTCTTTGTTATCTATTAATTAATATTATATTAAACTATAAATAATTTTAATTAAAAGAATATATATTATCTGATTTGAGAAGTGAGAGAAGGGAGAGAGACCGGTGAAAAATCTTCTTTTTGCAGCTTTTCATAATAATGGGAGATAAAGATAATCTGATGGAGGTGTATCATGCTATTAATTTTACTATTTATATATAATATGCTTCCCTGCTTCCCCCTTCGCTACTCCCCAAAAAAGTGTTACATTCTAATTGGACTTTCCAAAAAAAATTCCCCCTTTTCTTTTAGTTAAATAAATTGCAAAAGTAGTGCAATAAAAAGAAATATATAGAAATTTAGCCAATGAGTTGTTAAATGGATTATATTGTGTGGTATGGTAATCAAGTAAGATAAGGCTATAAGTGGGAAATAAAAAGCAATTTTTCTTGACGAAAAAAAAAAGAGAAATAACAAATTTAATCATGACTTTCTAACTTTAATTTCTAACTAGTTAGATCGAGCATAGTTAAATAGGGAAGCATTTATATCTTACGTACCACTTTTTAGAGGTGGTAAGTTATTATTTCCACCTTTTATTTGTGATGTAATTTTCTATATTAAAAAAAAGTTCTAATGTATGGGTAACTTTTTCAAATTTAAAGTTCAGTCTAGTTGAGCTTAACTTAACTAATTAGGCACATAGCTCCAATCAGGTCTGTAAATTCGAATTCTCATCTCTGTATATTATACTTAAAGAAGAAAAAAAAACTTTTTCAAGTTTGAAGTTAGATTCTCACCCCTGAATTTGAAGAACTATATTATGAAAATGTAAGAAAAAAATGTCTTTGAATGTTGAAAAGTTTAAAAATTTAAACTTTCTAATTTTGATACTAAATTTCTCACAAATTCCTATCTTTTAACACATTTTAGTTACCAACAGAGCATAGCAGGTGGTGAGTTGGAACAGACTCTCTACCTTGACTAATCAATAGCTAAGTTTTTTTAGTACAAAAGTGAGACGGTGGATTCCAACTCATGACCTTTTGGTTAAATGTCAATTATTGCTGTGCTAAACTTATATAAGCAATTAATAGCTAAATATTAATCTTCATGCTTCCATAGCATTATATATCTTAGTGATTTTTCTATGAATGACTACGATGATTTGGTATGATATGAAAATAAGTAGCAACCAAAACAATTAGTTTAAAACATACTCTGCCTAGTGTACGTCATTTATCTAGATAGTCTACTATTTTCTTACCTAAAAAAATGAAGAAAATAGATGTCACCAGCAAAAGAC